CTAGTGGATATATTACTACTTTTCTACCAATTTGTGGAAATACCAGGAGTGACGTAATATGCCAGATCTACGTGCCTTCCACATCAAGATGTACATGATTACGAACATTTCCAAATGAAGGGCAGAGCCCCCGGTCCCGGACCGCCCGGATACAACAGATAAGAGTGTACTACATGTAACGTTACATGCATAGGATTGATTGATTGCAGCCTATATCAATCATATCTTCTGAAAATTGTAGTCCAAGTTCCTGTCTGATGATCGGTTAAAACCGTGAAACTCAGAGTTACAGCAGAAACACTTTTTGATCCTCTCAAGTGTATGTAGGATTGCTGACGTACCAGACTGGGTGACTCCACTAGAGGCTCCAACTTAGTCTTGGTGAACTCCAGGCTAATGACGTTGTAGAGTTTGTCGCGTTTCGCATTTGTGTAGTACCTGCACCAGAGAGTACACGGCGTGTGCCAAACACACACACACACACACACACACACACACACGCACGCGTACACACACACACACACACACACACACACAAACACACAATGTAGCTCCAAGTCTCTTCGAACCTAAGAAAACACTCAAAAGACGCCATGCCACCAAGACTTGCACTGAAAGGCTTACTTTGTAAAGTTTGCCATGCTCATGGTGGAGCCTTGTTGTGAGGACACATCCATGATGTCAATAGTACACCCACGCCTGCCCATCACCCAAAGACCCGCTAGCGATCTCACTGGCCCATTGCCCGCCATCCTCCTGGCACCTCCACCCATCTGCTGTACACTGCCTCCCCATCGCCTCTTTCCGCACTTTCATGCTCACACCTGCCTGTTGCCCGCTACCCTCCTGGCACTTATACTGTCGCGCCGTGGCCCGCGCCAGCTGTTCTCCCCATACCTTACACCAGATTTAGCGCTAAATTTGTTTATGCTTGTGGCCCTATGTATTTAGAAGCATACTGACTCACTGTTAGGTAGACCCGAGTATCAGTTGTCTGATGATTGCCTAACGGCATGAAACTCAAGAGTTACAACCAACCTAAACGTCCTCCGCTGAGTCTGCTATGATTTGAAAACTCCGTATGGTGGAACCCAGATGCGCATGCAGTTTACGTAAGACTTTCCGTAGATCGACTACATTTTTTGAACTAACGTAACTACGTTATGCGGAACCTCTCTAATAAAGTACAGTGAGTGCAGGAAAATACTTCGACAACTGTGGACAGTCGGTTATAGGCGATTCACACGACAGCCACTTGCACGTTTTACGGCGAGTGATTTACGAGAAAAAGTGACTGTGTGGATTCACATGGCTGCACTCAACAGCGGGCACGTTTGCATTTTTGAATGATTCACCCACCAGTTGCCATGAGTATTTCAAATTTTCATAACACGTGTACAATAATTATCACGGTGAAAAGAGCCGCGTAAAAAATCAAAGTCTTGTTTTGCGCTTTTTGGTGTAAATATAGTTTACTGCTTGCCGCAGAGGGGCTGAGGGGCTGAGGGCTAGACCCACAGGACACTTCTGATCATAACTCACTAGACCTAGTCTTTCTTAAACTTGCATTCAGTTTCGGCGGGGACAATACCCCCGACACACGACCAACACAATCTTTAACTGTCTTTGACGCCATCACAATATCTATGCAAACACGGCCTAACGGACAAAGTCAAACAAGCCGTGACCTGATGTTGACACAGCCTGGTCAGTATGTAGCTTGCATGTCGAGTCTAAAGTTAAGGAATTCATACCTCAAAAGTTGAAGCGAAATAACCTGAACAACAAACTGTGGTATAATGCAGGAAAATCAATAAATTAGAAAAATGTCACGTTCGGAAATTTTATTGGGTGGTCATCCCGTTTGACTGTGCGAAGTAAAATTAAAACAACCAAATGGTTGGGTTGATCTGCACTGTGCAACCGATTCTCTCACCTTTCTTCCTCCAGCTATGCCTGTGACACCCTTTGTGAATCTGCGAAACACTAGTGGCAGGCCACGCGAAAATGAGAATGCGCGCAGCCAAGATTAGGCCATCATCTCCTTCATCCATCATCCCGGCGGTCACTCCGCCCGTTCAATATCCAACACCAGTCCCCAAGAAAGAATAAGGTACGAGATTTCAAGTTCAAGGGCAAAGCTAAAGCCAATGAATGGCACTGATTTTTGGAATTGTCGAGTAGAACGAAAATTAATAAATAATCGACGGTCAGATTCGACACACATGTGACACAGTTTGTTCGCGCTCGTGTGTCGCGCTTCGCATTTGCTGCATGCAGCTCCGGAGCTCCAGCGCGCCCATGATGAGTCTTGCGCGCGCGACAGGCTAGCCACTTGCGACAAAAGTTGTTTATATTAAAATTTTCAACTTTGCAAGCTGTTGAATGATGCAATCCCAGCACAAGTTAGTTGCTATGGCTTCATCGCTATCATCCACTGGATGATGGGTGTCAGAAGGTCAAAATAGGTGTGTGTGTGTGTGTGTGTGTGTGTATGTGTGCAGGGGCGGATCCAGAGTCAGAGATCTCTACAGGGGGGTTCCGGTTGAACCAAAATAATTAATTGAACAGCCAAAATATTATGGAATCAGATTGTTTTGAAGTTGCGCGGTTGACACTTGTAATTACGACAATCCGATTGTGTTAGTGGCAATCGCATGCTTTTAAAACACACTACGGACATATATTTTTCCATCATCGACCCCACCACAACTGCGCTCTCCAGCCGGCCTCGACACGTTGCCACAGCACACCAGTCACACCACCAGCGCTGGGGAGCGCAGTTGTGGTGTGGTGGACGATGGAAAACCTGTACAGGGCCAAATGCTGCTGCTTACCCTACATTGTATATATTTAGTACAGACACATAATCATAATACATGTACGCAATCGACTGGCACACAGGTTCAGTGAGGCTTGAAGACCCTTTCAACTTCTTGTAAAGATCGAATGTGCAAGCCATGGGTACGTTGAGAGCCAGGAATGCCGAAATGACAACTAAGTTACTTTCCCTGTCCATTTGTACTTTCGGAAAATTTTGGCATTTTTACGATGCGAAATGCTCTATAGTCATAGGACAAGAGCATCGTCTTTACTTCATTGACAGAAACAACAATAGCAAAACAGTGTCGACAATTGACAATCTTTCCAATGTCATCTAAAACACATCGCTGGCGCAGCACTCCGTTCCTGCGGAGGAACAACTAGTCACTACTGCATGCTGCAGCAGGTAGAGATTACTGACTTTGCTTGGATGTCGGAGCCCTCATCTTCTGAGGAGCTTGAACTCTACGTATACGATTCGAAGTTCGTTGACGAGTGTTACTAACAATAATGATCAATAGGAACATCCTTTCTCTTCTGCAAAAAACTTGTCCAAGGAATACTGACCACACCACACCCATCCTGAGCAGCAGTGAATGACAGCGCCAATGGAGGTAAGTTTGGATCGTTTCGAAAGATCAAAAAGGAAACAACCACCCAATGTTGTCTACAGTGTCCGTTTGCACGGATGTGACCAGACTACTACTATCGGTGCAGTATCGATCCACCGAACCCGCATGCGGTGCACTGAGTCTGTACTCCTTGACTCAGTGACTGCACTGACTGTGATCGGATGGACGTCCTTTTGTGCACACGCGCACAATCATGACATCGTGACATGATATATTTCGATATTTCTCAGCAGCACACTTTGCAAAATTTAGGGGGTTCCATGGAACCCCCGGAACCCCCCCCCTGGATCCGCCACTGGTGTGTGTGTGTGCGCGTGTGTGTGCGCGTGTGTTTGTGTGCGTGGACAGACATATATGCACGCACATGCACACTCACAGTCACGCACACAGACATGTGTGCACACACGCAGGCGCACACACACATGCCCAACACCGCAAGGATGGAGCAATACCACGTACATGTAGAAAGAGTGTTTAAAAAAAATACTTAGCTGTGTTGTTATGTACACGAACAAAAAGAACAACTTACTCGAAGCTTTCCGTTTGAAATCCAGAACGTTTTTTATGACCATTATCAGTGGAAAATCGTCACTGAACCTCGATAACAAGAAATGCCACAAGGAGAGTGCATACCATCCATTTTACAAACTACACAACCACGATGATAGTGGGAGGTATTTGTAACAAATAATTTTGGGTTTTCATCAGATTTAGTCATAACTGCTCATCATGGTAAACAAATACACACACACATACATACACACACGCACACACACACACACATACACACACACACACACACACACACACATACACACACACACACATACACACACACACACACACACACACACACACACACACATACACACACACACACACACACACACACACACATACACACACACATACACACACGCACA